CACCGGTCTCCGGTGTGAAATGCCGCGCCCCGGAGTGACTATCAGAGACGGAGCCCACAGGAGTCGTCCGTTCGTTTCCTGCGGGGGCTGTAACGGATTACCACAGACATAAGGGCTTCAAACCTGAACGTCTGACCTGACCGTTCTGCAGTCAGACGTCTGACAGGGTTCTCTGCCCTAAAATCTGGCCCGGCCCCGGCGGGGCTGCGTTTCCTTCCGGAGGCTGTAGGGGCGCATGTGCTTCCTCCCTCACCTTTTCCGGTTTCTCGCGGCCAGCCGGCGTCCCTGTTTGTGGCTTCTTCTTCCCGTACGGGGTGTCTCTGACTCTCCTCTGCAGCCACAGCTCCTTCCTCTCTCCTCCGCCTTCCTCTTCCGCTTTTAAGGACCCTCATGATGACATTGGGCCCACCTGGATAATCCCGAGCACCTCTTTAGGATCAGCTGTAGCAGCCTTAATTCCCCCTCGCCGTGTCACGGAGCACATTGATAGGTTCCGGGGTGAGGACGTGGATCTCTCCAGGGCCCTAGTCTGCAGACCACGGATGAGGAGGCCGGTGAAGATGGACAGACAAAGGCGGAGGCAGAAAAAAGGCTCGGAGAGAGGCAGAGGTCCGGGCTGCGAGGAGAGAGGAGGTGGCTGAGAAAAGAGACAGTGTCCCGGGTGTGCTTGGGGGGAATTTCGGGGGATTCTGCCAGCTGAGACTTTCCAGGGACGTTATTGCAGGAAAGCTTGGGCAGCTGCGAAACCCCAGATGACGCCAGAGGACTGTTCGAGGTTGAGCCAATAGGCAATTGTCGGAGAGGGTGGGAAGGAGGGCTGCTCTCAGCAAGTTTCCTGAGCTCAAGGCTATTCGAGGCTCCATCCCTGGGCTGGGAGTATGGGTCTATACCCTTGGGGGCAGGAGGGAGGCTTTAATCAAATTCTCAAAGGGGCCTGGGACCAATAAAAGTTAACTCCTATTTGAGTGTTAATAAAAGGAAGTGCTTGGAATGTAAAATGCTGCAGTCACTGTGGAAGACGGTTTGGCGGTTCCTCAAAATACAGTTACTATGACCCGGCAACTCCATTCCTAGGCGCATGCCCGGGAGAACGGAAGTCGTCCATCCACACAAAATCTTATCCACGGATGTTTGTAGCAGCAGTTTGGCTCATAATAGCCAAAAGTGGAAACAACCCTAATGTCAGTCTCCTGATGAGCGGATAAACAAAATGTAGTATATCCATGCAATGAAATCTTATTCAAGCGTTAAAAAGAATGAAGTTCTGAGACAGGATAAAACATGAATGAAACTTGAAGACATAATGCTAAGTGAAATAAGCCAGACAGGAAAGGACAAATATATGATTCCACTGTATATAAGGTGCCCAGACCAAAACCTAAAATGCAATAAAAAAATAGAAATAAAAAAATAAAAAAAAATAAGGCACCCAGAGTAGTCAAATTCATAGAAACAGAAAATAGAATGGTGATTGGCAGGGGCTGAGAGAGGGCAGATGGGAGTGAATGTTAGTGGGTATAAGTTTCTTTTTGGGGTGATTACATGTTTTAAAATAGATTGTGGTTGTGCAACTCTGAAAATATACTGAAAGCCACTGAATTCTTTAAATGGGTGATGGGTGAAATTTCTGCTATGTAAATTATATCTCAGTAAAGCTGTTCCTAGAAAAAAGAGGAAGTGGGCCAGGTACAGCTGCTCACGCCTATAATCCCAGCACTTTGGGAGGCTGCGGTGGGAGAATTGCTTGAATCCAGGAGTTCAAGACCAGCCTGGGCAATACAGTGAGAACCATCTCTACATACCTATAAAAAAATTTTTTAAAATTGCCCAGTGAGGTAAGACACACCTACAGTCCCAGCTACCTGGGAGGCTGAGGTGGAAGAATCTTGTGAGCCCAGGATGTGGTGAGTGCAGTGAGTTGTGATCTTGCCACTGTACTTCAGCTTGGACAGCAGAGTAAGACTCGGCCTCAAAAAATAAATTTTCTCTTTTATAAAAAGAGGAAGTGCTTGGCCCCTAGAGAGCATGGCATTTCACTTTATCTTTGCAGCTGTGAAAGGCAGGTCTTGACCTTCTCCCCTCTTACAGGTGAGCAGATGGCAGAGAGGCGAGGGTCACTAGGCTAAGGCAGGATGGCTGTTTAGTGACAGGCCTTGGACCAGGTCTCCTGTATTGGTCATTCTTTGTCCTGCGAGCCATGCTGGAGTGCAGATTCGGAGGTGACAGGCAAGTGGCACAGTCAGTGACGCATCTTTTTCAGCAGCTGCTGGAGAGTGGGCAGTTCTGATGGCAGCAGGGGAAGCTGGCCGGGAAGAGGGGGTGACGAGTCAGCTCAGGCTGCCACAACACCAGACACTAGATGACTTAAACAACAGGACTTTATTTCTCACAGTTCTGGAGGCTGGAAAGTCCTAGGTGAAGGTGCCGGCTAAACTCATTCCTGGCAAGGGCCCTTCCTTTCCTGACTCCTCTCCGGACTCACCACACACCTTTTCTTGGTATGTGCATGTGGCGAGATCTCTCCTCCTCTTATAAGGTCACTAATCTGGCTGGGCATGGTAGCTCACACCTGTAATCCCAGCACTTTGGGAGGCCAAGGTGGGCAGATCATCTGAGGTCAGGAGTTCAAGACCAGCCTGGCCAACATGGTGAAACCCTGTCTCTACTAAAATAAAAAAATTAGTCAGACCTGGGGACAGGCGCCTATAATCCCAGCTACTTAGGAGGCTACGGCAGGAGAATCGTTTGAACCTGGGAGGTGGAGGCTGCAGTGAGCTGAGATCACACCACTGCACTCCAGCCTGAGCCACAGAGCAAGACTCCATCTCAAAATAATAATAATAAAGTCACCAATCCTATTGGATTAGGACTCCACCCTTAAAACCTCACTTAACCTTAAGTATCTTCTAAAAGTTCCTCTTCAAATAGAGTCACAGTGGGGATAGGGCCCCCTATATTAATTTTAAGGAGACACAATTCAGTCCAGAGTAGGAGGCATAACCAGCTATCAAAGCATACTCAGGTGTGACCTCCTCTGCACCCAGCCCTCACCTCATGCAATCCTCCCAGTCGTGGGAAGGTGTTGCTATCACACCTCTGCCCCCATTTTATAGGAGCAAGCTCAGAAAGCTACATTTGACTGGGTGGGGTGGCTACTTAGTAATCCCAGCTACTCAGGAGGTTAACGTCAGGAGATAGCCTGAGCCTGAACCTTGAAAATTGAGGCTGCAGTGAGCCAAGATCGCACCACTGCACTCCAGCCTGGGCAATGGGAGTGAGACCCTGTCTCAAAAACAACAAAAAGGAAAAAAAGCAAGGTAGGCTGGGCACGGTGGCTCACATCTGTAATCCCCCAGCATTTTGGGAGGCAGAGGTGGGTAGATCACCTGATGTCAGGAGTTCAAGACCAGCCTGGCCAACATGGTGAAACTGTCTCTACTGAAAATAAAAAAAATTAGCTAGGAGAGGCTGAGCCAGGAGGATCACTTGAACCCAGGAGGCAGAAGTTGCAGTGAACCAAGATTGCACCACTGCACTCCAGCCTGGGTGACAGAGCAAGACTCTGTCTCAAAAAAAAAAAAAAAAAGAAAAGAAAAAGAAAAAGAAAAAAAAATTTTGCCTACCCAAGGACACACAGCTAGTGAGTGATTTGGGTCACATTTCCTGACCCCAGGGCCCATTCGCCTATCCCTACCCAGGTCACCGCCATGTCTCAGGAGGCCCCTCTGGGGAAGCATCGGGGACCCTCATAGGAGGCTCTGGAACAGAGAGCTGCAGGACTGGGACAGGGAGGCCATGGGGAGGCTGCACATCATCCTGTTCCATGGAGGTCACTGCTGGGGTAGCCCCATCCTGGGCCACAGACACCAAGGACTGCAGTCTGCGGGGAAGAGGCTGAGCTGGGACGGCAGTGGCCCGAGTCCATTCTGAAGGCTTATGAGCAAGGTGAGCCGAGCCAGAGAGGCGGCTGAGCAAGCAAGGGTGAAGACTGAGGGTGGGGGCTTGTGCTGAAGAGGCGAGGGGCAGCCTCAGAGGGAAAGGCAGGGCCAGATGCAGAGGCTGACCCGAGCGGGCGAGGGGACCGGGATTCATGGGGAGACTGGGTCAGGGGCCAGACAGGCCGGAGCGCCTAGCGTCGGAAGCTGGGTGATTGGGCCTCATTCTCTGCCACATGAGACTCCTCCAGCCCAGCCCCTGTCTCCTTTTCACCTCTCACAGATCCTCCCATACATCCCTGGTACCCTGTCATCTTTCCTAAGCTATGCTCTCTTTCAGGAGGGTGGAGTTTAGGGGAGAGCATCCTGCAGAAATAGCAAGTCTCAAAGTCAGCTCTTGTCTTGAGTCCCAGGCTCCTTTGGCGGAAGGGTAGTCCCCCTTTTTGCGTGTTTTAGGTGGTCAGCCTGGCAGGGGGCGGGAGGCCTGGGTTTCTTTCTTCTCTTTAGGATGGGGCTTGTCCCCCACCTCCCGCCAGCTGGCAGCCTCCCAGCCCCTGGCGGCCCCAATCCATTGTCCCAGTAAGAATAGAGAAAACAGCTTTGCAAAGTGACGCCGTGAATGATGCAGGGCGGCTGGGGCTGGGCCTGAACTCATGGGATGTGGTCCCCCCGCTCAGGCCCTGGCTCAGCTCCCGGGACAGTGACTCTACTAGGAGGGTAGGGGCCCAGCGTCCCTCCCCAGGATCCCCAAATCACACTCCAAGCCCACCCTGTCCAGGATGTGGATTTCCAGCGATGGGTTTGGGGGACCAGATGCCCCAACTCTTCCTAGAACTTCACTCTCATTCAAAGTTTGAGAGGGAGTAAGGGGTGGGTGACGGGCTGGGAGAGATTTCTGGAAGCTGAGAAAGGGGCCGGTCTGACCCCCCAACTTTGTCCCGCTCTTATTGGCCCTCACCCCCTCCACTTTTCCCGCCCCAATTGTCTCAGTGTCTGGGTCCTGGCCCTGGGAGGAGGGGATAGTGGGGATAGGAGTGGGGAGGGGGCTCAAGCTGAAAGCAGAGAGACTCCGCTCCAGGAACACCAAGTGAAGGACAGCAGCCTTCAGCCTTGACCCCAGACCTTAGCCCGCCAGAACCTGGGCTCCCTAAAGCAAAAGCGGGCCCCCCATTGTGTACCAGAGTGTGGGGTGGGGAATGCCCACACCCCAAGGGCCCCCAGGTTAAAGGCAAGAGACTGGGGCTGTTGGGGAAGTTGCCCAGGCTGAGGGGCCGGGGCTGGCAGAGACATGGGGCTGCTGCTGCTGCTGCCGCTGCTCCCAGGCTGGGGTAAGCGGCTGGTCCATGGGGGCCATGGGGAAAGCCAGGGCAGAGGGAGGGGAAGAAAAAGAGGTAGGCATAGGGGTGGGAGACTTGGGGGCCAGGTGCAGGGAGCAGAGGGACAGAGGTGGCTGGAGTGGAAGTGGAGAAGCCCTGAGGACAGCAGAGGAGAGGGGCAAGCAGGGCTCCAGGAGAGCCATGTGGGGGCTCCAAGAGCCCAGGCTTTGGGGTGCAGCCGAGCCCCCTGCCCATGCACCCCTCAGAGGCTCCGTCTGCCTGCCCATCCGCCCCATCTTCTGGGGGTCCTGGCTCACCCTCAAAGGCTGAGCTATTGTATTTATGGGGGTATGTGGGAAGGGGGGCTGTGTATGTGGGTTTGCAGCTCTGCTCATGCATTTCTGGGTCTGTGACATTAGTGTCTGAGGCCCTGTACTTATGTACATGTGACTTTGAGTCTGTAGGGACATCTACGTGTGGCCTGTGTTTGGAGCCTCCTTGAGTGTGTGTCTGGGATGGAATCTGTGTCTAGAAGACCTAGTGGCCACTGAGGTTGTGATTTTTAGTCCAAGTGTGGGTGTCCGTGAATGAGTGTGTGTGAGCATAAGTGTGCTCTTTCCCTATTCAGAGGCCGGGGTCCTGGTAGCAGGAGGGGGAGGGGGAGAGCCAGGAGTCCTGGGAAGCTGACCCTATGGCAGACAGGCAGATGGGCCAGAGGGGGAGGGAGGAGGGCGATCCCATTGTCCCCTGGGGAGTACAATGACCACGCCTCAGCCCCTGACCTCACCATCGTGCCTGCCCCACCCCCTCCCCATTGCCAGGGCCTGGCTGAAAGAGGCCATCAATCACAGCCACCCCACCAGGCCCACACTGCACCCGCCAGTCGGCCAGTGGCCTGCCCTGCTCCTCAGACAGCTGGGTCCTGCTCTATCCTCCCTGCCCCCTGGCGCCCCCTGCCCCAAAGTCTCCCCAAAGTCAAGTCCTGTCTTCTTGCCTCTTGTCCATGCTGGGGGGAAGTCAAAGTCATGGGGGAGGTGGTGGGCAGAGGGTGGGCCACAGGAGGTCGCCATGTCCAGGCTGTGCTGGCTGTCCCTACAGGCTGCGCTGCAGGCTCCGAGCTGACCTTCGTGCAGGAGCCGGGGAACATGGTTGCTGTTTGGGAGCACCCACTGGTGCTGCCCTGCCAAGTGGAGGGTGAGCCACCGTGTCCATTTCCTGGCAGTGGGATGGGCTGGCCTTAGCCAATGACAGTGGTGCCACCCTGATGCCAGATGGCTCCCTACACCTGGCCACCCTGCCCTCCCGCTGGAGCCTCCCTTCCAGTGCCCACGAGTACCACTGCATGGCCCACAACTGCTATGGGCGGCTGGTGAACCGACGGGCCCAGGTACAGCTGGCAAGTAAGTGACTGGGCTGCTCCTGGGGATGAGAGTGTGTGGGGCAGCCACAGAAGGCGCCCACGGGGCACAGAGTCGCTGAGAGTGGGCCTGAGCAGGGCCAGCCCAGCCATTCTGTACAGTGTACACACTGGCTGCAGCCTCTGATTCTTTTAGGGGCCCACAAAAACATTTTATCTTCTTCGAAACCAGAAGAAAAAAATGAACATAATAATAAACATGTAAAAATGAGTCCAGACTGGATTATATCTGTATTCCAATGCCATTGTAAGCTATGATTTGAAATGTTTGTAACAGAGGAAGGGGAAGTGCTTACGGCCCACAGAAGTCCTAGGTGTGAGACTGCAGGCTGCATACTAAGGAGGAAATGGCAGATGTGGGCATAGAAGTGGGGCCTGGCCCTGGGGCTTGGTTGTGGGGCATAGCCCAGGGCGAGCGCCACAGGTACCCAAGCAGCCCCCCATCCCCTAGGCCTGTCCCGCTTCCACCAACATCCAGAGGCCGTCGAGGGGAGCAGGGTGGAGTTGCTTGCTTCCAGTGTCTGATCCAGGGGGTGCCCGAACCCTCCATTTCCTGGGAGCACAATGGCACAGCCCTGAATACTGCCAACCGCCGGTGAGCACCTGCTGGGAGGGCAATGGGACGGCGGGCTGCGGGCCAGGGCACAGGCCATGGAGCCCTGACCTCTGGATCCTCAGGGTCACACTGCTGCCTAGTGGCATCCTCCACATCACCAGCGTGAGCCAGGCTGACGTGGGAACCTACCACTGTGTGGCACGGAATGTGGCCAGTACCCGTCATAGCCAGGATGCCCAGTTGACCTTGAGTGGTAAGACAGGCCTAGCAGGGGCACTGGGCAGAGAGGAGGGTTTGGTTGCTGTAGTTGTATGTGGGACAGACGGCAATTTTGAGCACCTATGACGTGTTAAGTAGTGTGGCAGGTATGGGAGGCCAGCAGGCTTGTGCCATTCCTGGCTTCCTGGAGCTCACAACCTGAGAGAGAAGGCGGTGCTACAGGGACCCAAGCTTGGGCTGTGGGCAGGGGTTGTCAGGGGTTTCTGCAGTAGGCTACCCCAAGCTGGGTGTTGAAGGGTGAGTGGAGAGAGGCAAGCCAAGGTCAGCAGGGCAGGACGGGGGCATTTCCTTGAACAAATGCGTAAGGGTGAGGACAACAAAGTTCACGCAGGCAGTTCTGTGTTGCTGGACCACAGAATGGGCAGAATTTACGGTTGCAAAGTTCATGTTGGCAGGTAGGCAAGGCACAGCATGAAAGGAGTTAAGAACTTGATCCAGTGGGCAGTGGCAGTGCTGGAGGGTCTAGCCTTGGGGCTGAGTCAGCCTGTGTCTTGAACACGCCGTCCCCATACACATACACGTGTACATACTTGTATGCGCATGTGTGTGGGTGTGCATGTGTTTGTGTATGCGTCTGTGCTTGCATGTACATGTGCATGTGTGTGCGTGCACACTTGCACATCTCCTTCTTGGGGTGTGGATGAAAATAGCTTTGTACATGAGTTGAAACACCCAGGATAACCCCACCTGTGGGCCAAGTGGGGTGGGAGAATTTGTGCCCAAAGTGAAGGCCACAGCAGAGCCTACGAGGGCCTAATGCCTAGCCAAAGAGGCAGGTTAGACCTGGCCTAAAACCGAGATGCCACAGGGTCTGTGAGGGACAGTCATGCCTGAATCAGCCACTAGGGGGCTCCAGGGTATAAATAAGCAAAGGTACCACAGGGCACCACGCCGCACCCGGGCAGAGTTTCAAAACATCTCCAACAAAATTTCACTAAAGGATATATTTTTTTGTTTTTTCTTTTTCTTTCTTTTTTGTTTTTGTTTTTGTTTTTTGAGACGGAGTTTCACTCTTGTAACCCAGGCTGGAGTGCAATGGTGCAATCTCGGCTCACCGCAACCTCCGCCTCCTGGGTTCAAGCAATTCTCCTGCCTCAGCCTCCTGAGTAGCTGGGATTACAGGCACGCACCACCATGCCCAGCTAATTTTTTGTGTTTTTAGTAGAGACGGGGTTTCACCATGTTGACCAGGATGGTCTTGATCTCTTGACCTCGTGATCCACCCGCCTCGGCCTCCCAAAGTGCTGGGATTACAGGCGTGAGCCACCGCACCCGACCTGTTTTGTTTTTTTAAGACAGAGCCTCGCTCTGTAGCCAGGCTGGAGCGCAGCGGCATGATCTCGTCTCATTGCAACCTCTGCCTCCCGTGTTCAAGCAATTCTGCCTCATCTCCCGAGTAGCTGGGTACAGGCACATGCCACCACGCCCAGCTAATTTTTGTATTTGTAATAGGGATGGGGTTTCACCATATTGGCCAGGATGGTCTCCATCTCTTGACTTCGTGATCTGCCCGCCTTGGCCTCCCAAAGTGCTGGGATTACAGGCTCCTGGCCGATGTATCATTTTTAAACTGAAGACTGGCAGGGGAAGGGGGAACTGTTGTCTCTCTCTCTCTCTCTTTTTTTTAAAATTTTTTTTATTTTTTTATTTTTTTATTTTATTTTATTTTTTTTTTGAGACGGAGTTTCGCCCTTGTTACCCAGGCTGGAGTGCAATGGCGCGATCTCGGCTCACCGCAACCTCCGCCTCCTGGGCTCAGGCAATTCTCCTGCCTCAGCCTCCTGAGTAGCTGGGATTACAGGCACGTGCCACCATGCCCAGCTAATTTTTTGCACTTTTAGTAGAGACGGGGTTTCACCATGTTGACCAGGATGGTCTCGATCTCTCGACCTTGTGATCCACCCGCCTCGGCCTCCCAAAGTGCTGGGATTACAGGCTTGAGCCACCGCGCCCGGCTTTTTTTTATTTTTTAAATTTTCTTTTTTTTAAAAGATGGAGTTTCACACCATGTTGGTCAGGCTGGTCTTGAACTCCCGACCTCAGGTGATCCGCTCGCCTTGGCCTCCAAAGTGCTTGGATTACAGGCGTGAGCCACCGCGCCTGGCCCCGAACTGTTATGTCTCTTATCTCGAACTGACTCAGAAACTCAAAGCGAAGGTTGGGGGTCAGCAGCTCCTCTGCAGGAGCAGAGAGAAGCCTGGTGCGGTCCCTCTGGCCTGCGGCATCCTGTTCCTATCTACAGTCTGGCACAGGAGGGCAGGGCAGGAAGCCATGTCTCTCGGGGCTGTGGGGCAGGCATGGGATTCAGCTGCCTGAGGAACAGGGAGACAAATGGTTAGAGAGTAACAGGAGGTTAGCAGGAGGAACAGGCGCCTGTTGGAGGCAGAGGACCAACCAGTAACTGAAGGCTCAAAGGTTGCCTAAAGGAGCTGGTGTCAGAGTAGTCTTCCCCAGAGGCAGGAGCTGGGCCCAAGGCTCCAAGCAATTCTCCCCTAAAGCACTCACCTGCACATACCTGGGCAGGCACTTACCTTGGGCATGCACAAGGGTGAGAGAATTTCCCAGACTTCAAGGAGCTCATGGCAGCTGAAGAGGGGATGCTTTTTTTTTTTTTTTTGAGACCGAGTTTCACTCTTGTTACCCAGGCTGGAGTGCAATGGCATGATCTCGGCTCACCGCAACCTCCGCCTCCTGGGTTCAGGCAATTCTCCTGCTTCAGCCTCCTGAGTAGCTGGGATTACAGGCATGCACCACCATGCCCAGCTAATTTTTTGTATTTTTAGTAGAGATGGGGTTTCACCATGTTGACCAGGATGGTCTCGAACTCTTGACCTCGTGATCCACCCGCCTCGGCCTCCCAAAGTGCTGGGATTACAGGCTTGAGCCACCGCGCCCGGCGAGGGGATGCTTTTTTGTCAGCTGTTCAGTGCTACCAAGATCCAGGGAGCCAGGCCCTTTGTCATTGGGCAAATTACTTACCCTCTCTAATTCTAGATCTTCCCATGTAAATCGGGAAAATTAACAGTACACATCTCACAGGCTGTGTGGTGAGGGCAAAACGAGACAATGCCTGTGGGGTCACAGCCAGTGCCTGGCACAGGGAAGGGGTCGACCCCGGTGGCCCAGCCTCCCCTCACTGAACTGTCTGGCCTTTTTGAATAAGACCAGGAGATTCCAGGACAGCCCACAACCTGAACTGCAGCTTGCAAGAGGCAGATGGAGACAGGCCGGGCCCAAAGTAGGCCCTCAATCTATAGTTGCTGAATGAATGAATGAATGAAGAAAACACAATCCTAGACCTTGAGGGATAATTAAAGATGTGTAAGACTTCAGACCAGCCCATGAAAAACTTCCATTTTAGAAACACATTTTATCTGAGAAATTCTTAATAAAGGGCATTTATGAAAGGTTAAAGACATGTTACAGTACGAGACAAGGCAGTAAAGAAAATGGGAAAGCAAAGCTGTTTCACATGATGTTGATCACAACTGTGTTCCCAGTGTGAGGGCGGTCCCTGGCACATGGGAGCCGCCAGTGATGATCTTTTGAATAAACTAATGAAAGGGGGAGCATGGCATAAAATGAAGACGTGATTTAGACCCAAAACAAGAGTGTACTTTGGGAAAACACTTATATTCCTCCTAAGCAGCTAAGCAGGCTGAAGTCTTAGGAGGCCGGTCATGCTTTCTGAGGGAGGGTCTCCTACTAACTTTGTGGGTGCCCCTACCTGCCCCTCAGGTTGAGGTGCCCAGGGAAGGTGGGGCCGCCCTCAGGGTTTGCAGGAGGCACATGCTCACTCACTGTCCTCTCTCCCCACCCCCAGTCTACCAGACCTTCACCCTGATAGCTAGCACCATGGGACTTTGGGCAGGTCATTTTAAAACTCTGTAAATTGGGGATTGAATAGCAGCTGCAAAGCCCACCTCTGAGTGTGGGCTAGAAGAGCGTGCCAAGTAGAAGTGAGTACTGCAGGGAGGTTCTCCTTTCTCGATCAAATTTTCTTGTCTCTACCACACAGTGGGACACCCGAGGCTGCTGCAGGAGCCAGAGATCCCGTCTGGGCCTCAGAACCTGACCCTCACAGTGCACCAGACGGCAGTGCTGGAATGCATCGCTACCGGCCACCCTCAGCCACTCGTTTCCTGTCCCAGCCTGACACCCCAATGCCCTGTTGCAGATGGCCGCTCCATCGGCGTGGAGGGCATCCAAGTTCTAGGCACTGGGAACCTCATGATCTCTGACGTGGCAGTCCAGCACTCAGGTGTCTACGTCTGTGCCGCCAATTGGCCGGGCACTCGGGTCCGGTGCACAGCGCAGGGTGTCCTGCTCATGCAGGGTGAGTCCCAAGGGCCTGACCGGGTGGGGAGGGAGCTGGGACACCCCAGCTCCGTGACAGGAGCCTGGATCTGGAGAGGGTCCAGGGCAGGAGGCAAGACGCCGGGTCTCAAGGTGCCTTCCTCCTTGCTATTGCCTGCCCAGCTCCCCGAGTTTGTCCAGTGGCCACAGTCCTCTGGGCAGCAGGGCTATCTTCACCTGCATGGCCCAGGGAGTCCCTGAGCCCTGTCTGGTCTGGCTGAAGAATGGGAAGGTGCTGAGTCCTGGGGATAACATCAGGCTGACTCAAAACAACAGGTACTCGTGTCCCACCACTCCCCACTGCCACTGGTATCTACATGCAACACTCACTACCTCTCGAAAATCCACACCCATCCA